AAATGCTTTAAACACCTTCCAAAGATGACTACAATTTGAATGCTACAGAATTCCAAAATACCCATAGCTCATTAGTCATACTACTATGGTGCCACAGTCGCTAATTAGACTATCGTTTTCCTTGTAGAAACTCAAATGATAAGTGTATTATAATCAGTTTATCTATCATCCATGCATTGTCAGCTAAAATTAACCAAGATGCTTTGAATGTACAAAAAAAGAAGTAAAAATAACTTAAATCCGCACAGTTAGAGGTTAAGATGGAAAGTTAGACACCATGGAGTTTAACTCTTACACAATGAAGCCTACGAGAAGAGGAGATTGCTTTTCCAGGTGTTTCCAATTTTCCACTTTTAACAGTCTGACCACTTTTTGATTGCTGTGTATAAGTGGAAAATATTTTACTTTTACTTTTCTCTGAAAGATTTCCACCTTATACCATTTGTCTTTTTCAAATTTTACTGTGTTTAGAAGGTGTGAAAATTGAGATCCAAAGAGATTTAAATAAGGTGCCTCTGGTCACACAATTTATATACAGTGTACGCCCATCTTATGTCACACACATGTATCTTACCTGTCTGATGGTGCCTTAGAAGTCACAGGACGTCCAGGGACACCTTTTTTACTTTTACGGTCTAGAGAAATGACTTTATTTCTTAAGCTTCTTTTCCACTAGAAAAAATATATAGACATAGGATTTAAGTAATGAATATAGCAATATTTATTAAAATACACTTAAAATGTCAGTTTTATTTAAAACTCAATAAACATACAAATTCCTAATTAATAGGGAAGGGAGTGCCATTGACAGAATATCACGTTGCTCAGTTGCTAGTACAGGAGTACAGGTTCACAAAAAAAACAGTTGGAAATACCATTTAAAATATCAAAGTAACTTTAGTCAAGGAATCAACACTTTGAGATCCCAGAGCCAAAAGTAACTATGAAAAAATTTAAATATGCCTAAATGGAGTCATAAAAATTATAACATGTCAGGTTAAATGGTGTCTGAAATTCTGAAGCAACTAAACTTATACAACTTATACAATTGTTCCATGGGATGTACAATTAGTTACAATGTTGCATGTCAAACTTTAGGGAATAGGTGGCTTCTGATTAACATGATTTAGACTTACTGTGACTACAAAATAAATTACAAATTTCCTTATCTAATATAAAACAGTGTGAATTTAGGAAAATACATTTATGGTCTCTTTGCCTTAGTTTCTGTGTTTGAAAATAGATGCTTTTAGCAGTAGCTAACTCAGAGAGAGAGATGTATGATGATTCAATGAGATCACTTATGTAGTAAGTTTAAAATTATGTCTTCAACATGGTAGCTCTCAACAAACATTGTACTTTTTATGCTTCAAGCACGGTTTTCTCATTATCACAAACCATGCTTCATAGTATAAAACATCATATTTTATAAGAGGAAATTCAATGAGTGGCTTCTACCTTCTCTACACTGGCCTAGTAACTGGAAGGTTAAGAGCTTTCGATCCTTAGAGGCAACGCTGAAGAAAGACTAGCACACTGAAGAAAGCCACTGTGACGCGCAGTTCTGTTCTGATAAACACAGTATTGCCGTGAGTCAAAATGACTGAACAATCCTGGGTGATACAAACGATTTGTGACCTACAA